ACATCCGTGGGCCCAGAGCCAGGGTCAGGGCCGGGAAAGAACACAGAACACGGGAAGCAAACAAGCGTCCTCAGAACCCACGCCTGGGACTGTCACGTTTCTGGGAGGAAGTGAATTGATACTTTGTAGGTAGAAAACCAAACAACCAAAAAAAAAAAAAAATCATCAGAGAACTCAGCAAAAATAATAACCAAGGGCTGGGTAGTATGGACCCTTAACTTTATAAGCATATTTTAGGGCCAACTTTAGAGAAATTAATATACTATTACAACAATTTTAACACTAATAAATTACAATGATCATCCAGCTATTCAAATATCAAAACAGAACAAAATTTACATACGTAAAAACTTTCCTAAAGTAAACAAGTGTGCGCGGTCAGAACTGGGAATCCCATCGGAAGGGACACGGCGTGTTTTGATCAGGCTCAGACTGAAATAAAAGTAGTCGATTCAAACCCCAACCTGGAGAGCCATCCCTGCTGTGGCTGTGACTGAATCTTTCCAGCATCCTGTGACATTCATTCAGACAGAGGGCGACCGTCCGACCATCCATGTAAACAGTTCAACATATCGGTCCCCGGCTGTGGACCTGTGGCTGATGGAGAACAGCCTGGGGATCCTCTAAACTCAGCAACCTCTGGGCCTGCTCACGGCTTCCCGCTGGGCGGCTCCGGGAGGCTGTGGGGGGTGGAACTGGTGAAGGTGGAAAGCCAGGAGGACATGGCTGTCTTTGCGCTGGAAAGAGCTCCTCCCACGGACTGGCCTGGAAGGAAAGGAGGAGAAACAAAAGGAAAAACCCCTTCACTTTTGTTAAGAGGCAGTGAAAGAGGGACCAATGCTGATGAATAAATGTTATCTACGGTAACACATCAATATGTTAAAGATTACTAAAATGCCATTTAAATGTCTAGTTTCAAAACAATCCCTTTCCACGCTTGTCGAATAGGAGACAGGACAATTTCTGGGTGGAGGAGCCTACCGGCTTCTAAGCATTGCGAAGGCACCCAGCAAACGCTCTCCTTAGAACGCGCTGTGCGTGGCCGGTGGTTCTCAGCACTGGTTGTGCGTCAGGACCACACTGAGAGCTGAAACAGCCCCACCTGCTCTCTGTCCCCCAAATAGAAGCTGATCACTGATAACCACATACACAGGAAGGGGGGGGGATGCTGTAGGAAGTTTGCTTGTCATCAAAAAAGACATTGCATTCAATGAGGACATCCAGAGCCCAGGCTGCCTCAGGCCTCTTTAGTTTTAAAAAACATTATCTCAGAAGTTGACGCTCAAGTGAAATTATTAAGTTGCAGCACATACTCCTGCTCTTCTTGGAGATGGGGGAGCGGACGAGGAGAACTGACCTTAGAATTTACACATCAGCTGCAGCATCACTAAAAACTGACAATTGACTCATAAACCTATGCTGAAGTAGAATTTTTCTACTAAAAAAATGAGAATGAAAAATAAGTCAAATGCATAATGTTGTATGGAAGAAAACGCTAATATATCTAATTCCGTTCCCTTGTAACAAAATGAACCTAGGGAGAGGGCTTTGTGCTCCGTGTTTGTCTTCTTTTATTTTTATTTTTTAAATATGTTTTTATTGATTTGAGAGAGAGAGAGAAACATCAGTGAGAGAGAACCACTGATCGGCTGCTTCCTGCACGCCCCCGACCGGGGATTGAGCCCACAACCCGGGCAAGTGCAACGCTCAACCAACTGAGCCAGACCGGCCAGGGCTCCGTGTTTGTCTTCTAAGACAAGTAGGTGTTCAGACGTTAGAGCTATGAGGACCCTGCACAGGGATCACCCAGGTCTGGGGCTCCTGAACTGTGTTCAATGAGGATTAGTCAACCTCTCTCAGGAGCTAAGTAAGGAGATGGGCCCTATTTTTACATATGGATGTGACTCAGCAAATGTAAATAATTGGTGAATCTGAGATCATTAGGAGTTCCTAGTACAGTGTTGTACCACTTCCTTAAGTTTGAAATTATAAAAAAATAAAAAGAAATACAGAAAAGAAGGGACAAGAAACTTCTTTAGAACGGACATGAAACAATCTTCAAAATTTTTACGTAAAAAGTGCTGGGAGCAGAAGCGTGTGTTCAGCACATGCCTCATCTGGCTTTGGTAGCAGGGTGCTGGCCTCACTGGACGAGTCAGGCAGTATTGCCTCATCCACCACTTTCCGAAAGAGTTTGTATAAAGTCAATTTAATTCCTCAAATGTTTGAGAAGACTTGTAGGTAAAGCAATCTGGGCCTGAATTAAATTAAAAGCCTTGCAGCAAGGTTTTTAATATTTAATTCCGTTTATTTCATAGGTAATAGGGCTATTCAGATTTTCTTTTTAAAATATATTTTTATTAGTATCAGAGAAGAAGGGAGAGGGAGAGAGAGAGAGAAATATCAATGATCAGAGAGAATCATAGATGGAGCCCGCAACCAGGGAATGTGCCCTTGACTGGAATTGAACCCGGGACCCTTCAGTCCCCCGGCTGACGTTCTATCCACTGAGCCAAACTGGGTAGGGCCAGGTTTTCTATTTCTTATTGAGTCACTGATCGATAAGACTATTTCAATTGAGTCTTTCAAAAGAATTTGTATTATTTCATCTAAGTTGTCAAAAAATTGGCATAAAGTTATTCACAAAAGACCTTTAATTTTTGTAAGGTCTCTAGTGATGGCCCCTCTCTACTATTTATAAAGGACGATGGGCAGATCTGGGGGAAAACTCCACCGAAGCTTGAGTCCTGGTAGCAGAACAGTGAACTCATCAGAAAACCTGTCACTCCCATTAGATGTGGCAAAATGTGCTTAACTCTGATACTATCTGGTGCCAGGACATGTTTTTAAACAAATAAGACAAAAATTTAAAAAACCAACAACAAACGAACCCCTGCATTTGACTATGGGGATCGTTTGTATTATTATGTGATACACAGACCTCTACAAGTTTACATATTTATCAACAACGTCTGAGAGCAGAGGCGATGAGTCATTCCAGTCTGTTCCTGGAGAAAGGTGGGCTTACCAACAGCTTTCCCAGTCTGGACGACATTCCGGCTGGTGGTGACCATGACGTTTCCAATTTTTTTGCCGCGTTCACTGTTTTGAACAGAACTGAGTGAAGGAAAGAAGTGTTAAATACAACTTAAGTAAAGCTCCTCTCTCTCACACACATCACTCTATCGCCATCCCCCAAATGAGAATTACTGAGAAAAGAAGCTAAATTATTACCTGTTATCCATCAATTAATGTAATGAAGCATGTGAATGTTTAGTAAAATACTAAAAAAACATGCAGATGCATGACCAACTCTCCCGACAGGCTTTGCCGCAGTTACTTCAGGATAAAAACGGCAGATCCTGCTCCATTCACACCGTCTCCGGGAAACAGCAGTGTTTTCGCTCCGAGACGCACACACTGCCGGGCTGCAGGCTGCCAGGCGTGTGTTTGGTTACTATTTAAAGCCCACGTCTATCAAGTGCGGAGAAACAATTCCCAATTAGCCACGACACACATGGCACAGACTCAGACGTCAGAACCGTCCTGGTGTTTTTCTCGAAATACTCACTGTGAGAATCGTAGCTTCATGTCGGACACCGAGTACTGGCCTTGGAAAGGGTGGCTGCAAAACAAAGCTCCCGTTCAGACCCTGGGTGTTCCATCAGGAGAGCCACGAAGCAGAGTTACCCAGGGGGCATCAGTAAGCCTCCCAGGGGAGGCCTCTGAATGTAGCATCCATGGGGCTTGGACCCCAGCTCCCCGCCTACAGTTAGGGGAGCCCCTCTGAGTTTATTTCCTCCCACGTGAAATAGGTGTTTTTTCTAGGCTGGTGGTGGGAGGGTTGTGTTAGTGATGTTGATTTATTTGGTTGGGGTAGGGCCCAAGCATTAACATTTTTTAAAAAGCTCCCAAAAGCCTTAGCCGGTTTGGCTTGGTGGATAGAGCATCGGCCTGCGGACTGAAGGGTCCCAGGTTCAATTCCGGTCAAGGGCACATGCCCAGGTTACGGGATTGATCCCCAGTAGGGGGCATGCAGGAGGCGGCCAATCAATGATTCTCTCTCATCACTGATGTTTCTCTCTCTCTCTCCCTCTCTCCTTCCTCTCTGAAATCAATAAATATATATACACTAGAGGCCCGGTGCACGAATTCATGCACCAGTGGGGTCCCTTGGCCTGGCCTGCGCCCTCTTGCAATTCAGGACCCCTCAGGGGATGTTGAATAGCCAGTTTTGGCCTGATCCCCACAGGCCTGATCCAGATAGGAGGGAGCCCGATCCTGTGCATTGAGCATCTGTCCCTGGGGGTCAGTGAGCGTCATAGCGACCAGTTGATTGGTTGTTTGGTGGCTTAGGCTTTTATATATATAGATATATTTTGTTAAAGAGCTGCCCAGGACAGTCAGGGTGGAGTCAGTGACTTAGGCCAGGGCCATGGACTACACCTTGATTCTGGCCATCTTATAAACATGTGCCTTTGGTCAGACAAAGATGTAGACAGACCAGTAAAATCTGTAATCTGTTCTTTCTGTTAGAAAAACAGCTCAAAATACAGGTCTTAAAAATATACAAAAGGCAAAAAGTGTATATATAAATAATCAGGCAACATAACCAAAGATCCCTCTAAAAAGCGTCAATAAGTATCCAAATTCTTATCTCATACTCAGGAGCCTCTCTGTCAATGTCTAACACAGAAAGTGACCCCAGTGAAATCCACAGCAAATTACAGAAACATCAAAAGGCCATTTTTGGCTTTTCAAATGGCAAATTTCTTTATTGTCCATATGAAGCATATTAGTAAGTTCTCTTTTTTTCTGAATTCCTGAACCACAGATTGAAAACACTGAGAGATGCCTTAATCATTCTGGACAGTCTTGGGAAGCGATGTTTTAGGATGAACCATGCCTGGTGCTTATTAGGGGAAGTCGGAGGACTGCCTTCTCCGATCTGGGGGTTGAAGTCAGGCTTTCACAGAACTCAGATCTTACAGTTGAATTTGGGGAACATGTTGAAACTCTGCTGACTGTCATATCTGCATAATTT